CCCCCAGCCCGGCCCCCGCCGAGTCCGCGCCTTCGCCGCCGCACCGCCAGGAAGCGGGGAGTGCAGGCGGGGAGAGGGGCGGTGACACGGGCGCCCGGACGCAGCCAGTGACAGAGGGAGACCCGAGGGCGCAGGGGGCGCGGCGAGGTCCGGGGAACCCTGGTGGCGGGTGGCGGGCGGGCTGAGTTGGGAGAGTGAGAAAAAGACCCATGGGGCAGAGAAAGCAGATAAGAGAAGAGAGGGAGGGAGATACAGACGCGGGGAGACTGCCACAGAGGCGCAGAGGGGGCCTCTGCTAGGGGAGACCGGCAGGGAGGGGAAGAGGACGGACAGGCTGGGCATCGCTGCGAGCCCCCGTGAGGCTCCTGGGATTTGTGAAAACCGCTCTTGCAGGTCTCTGCCCTCCTTTCCGTCCCCACTCCACCCCCGGGCAGCCCTTCCAGGAAAGAAGGGCAGACCTGTGGCTCCAGCAGAGCACAGGCAGGCACTGGCCACAGCCACCAGGTGACCCCCGACCCTGGCTGGACACGTGTCCCCAAGTTTCACTTCCCTTCCTTGAGGAGGGGGTACGTTGACTGGGAAGAGGGCACTGGTGCCAGCCCCCATGGGACCCCTGAGCAGGCCACAGTGAGGAGGGGAAGGGGACAGGTGGGACCCTTGTCCTTGTACGGACTTGGGGCACACTCCAGCCAAGTAACAGTGAAAAGACAACTTGGAAGGAACGTGCTGGCCGGCACCTCAGCCTTTTTATGCCATCTGGTGGTGACAAGGAAGAAACACAAGTGACCAAAAGGAAACTTGAATAGCAGCAATTGCTGTCACCAAGTCTGTGTTTGGCCAACAGGTGGCCCTGCCCCAGGTCGGCCTGAAAGGAACCATTCACTACCTTACCCTCTCTGCCCCAGTGCCCTTAATCCTGCCTCTACCACCCCTCCCTGCCAGGGCTGGCTCCTCCCCCTCCAGAGCGCTGGGCTGGGCCTGTGTCACTTCCTAGGCCACAGTGCTGTGCTTTGCTCGTAGTGGCTGGAGACGGCTCAGGCTGCAGAGCCATGGCCTCCAGCCCCAAGCAGCCAGGTCTTCCCAGGTGAGCAGCAGCAAGGGCCCTGGGGCTTGGGGCTGGCTGCGAAGCGGGAGGGATGACAGGGTCAAGGAGAGGGAGAAGGACTTCACGGAGGATCTGGCTGAAAGGGGCTGCAGAGATCCATACAACCCCATGGTCTACAGATGAGGAAACCGAAGCCCAAGAGAGGCGAATGACTTGCCCAGGGATACAGGGCGAGTGAGTAGCTGGCCAGCATGGAAACGCAGGTGTCTCGACTGCCAACCCTGGGCTCCCTGCATGCCACATCCCCCTCCTCCCCTCCCCACCGCTCCCTCCTCCTTCTTTCCTCGCCTCTCCCTCTTTCCCCTCCACTTTCCTCTCATTCGCCTTTATCCACTGGAACCTTGCCTAAGAGGCAGAACACTTGGGTTTTCTACCCCACACCTGGTCTTGACTCCAGGATTTCAGACTCAGCCCAACAATTGTTGGGGCCACAGTGTCCCTCTCTGAGCTCCAGGACCCACTGGGAGAGCAGGCTGGGTGCCCTGGGAGAGAGCAGCAGGATTCAAACTAGCTGTCCTTCTCCCCGTAGCCCAGCATCCAGCCCAGGCTCTGGGCCTCGCTCTGCTGCCTCCCTTTCCCTGAGGAGTGCACTTTTTCCACTCAGCTGGCTCCCTGGAAAGGATGAATGTGGGTCTCGGACGCCCTGCTGAGGCTGAGGACTGTCTGTTGGGGAAAGCAAGTGACAGTCCTATAGCCCAAGGTCCCGAGGCACAAGCACTGCTCGAGTACTGGTCTAAGAAAAGACTCACACTCCCTGTGTGCCAGGTCGTCTTGCATAAAAAGGAGCACATAACCTTCTAGGGCTATTGTGGGAATGAGACAAGGATGCCAAGCAATGAGCCCGGTTCCTGGCCCCCAGGGACTGCCCAGGAAGATGCTGCACCTTCATCTTCACACACTGACCTCCAAGAAAGAAGTGGAGTTTTCTCGATGCTATCTAACTTGGCTGTGTGACTCTAGACAAGGCACGTTCCCTCTCTAGGTTCTGACTTCTTTTGTGTAAGGAGAGCTGGCCAGTTAAACCCAGCGTGCCCTTCCTGGGCTGCCTTGGAAGTCACAGGGACTTGGATCATTTCTGATACCCATGGCAAAAGAAGAGGGCGCCCTCAAGGTCACCAGGGACCTGAAAGGTGAGTGTTGCAGGAGAAGCAAGGGGTCTTGGAAGCATCTCCCTCAGAGGCCTCACTCCTGATGTCTGCTCTCTGCATCGTCCCTGCAGCTGCAGTCTCTGCTATCCTCCAGGGCTACGGGAATGGGAAGGGGCCAGTGATGGACGCCAGTGCTGAGCTGCACAGACTCTGCGGCTGCCTGGAGCTGCTGCTGCAGGTGAGAGCACCCCGTCCCACTCTCCCACATCCTCCCTTCCCTTCCTGTCCCCAGTGCTCTCCCAGGCCTGGATAACCAGGAAGTCTCTCCCAGATACAGGGGGAGATGGCTGTCTCCCTTGGGTGCTGTGCACTACCTCGCCTCCCTCAGTCAGCAAGCCCTCCTGGAAGCTGTCATTGCAGCCTGGGAAAGGAGGTGGGGCAAAGCTGGGTAGGGTGGGACTAGGGTATGGGGACAACCACCTTGCTTTAAAAACTAAACCTTCAGAGGTATGGGTGTCCTAGAACTGGTATTTCTTGGGTCAGATTACAGCCCAAATCATAGCGATCACCAGCTTTTTCATGAGCATTTACTATGTGTCAGACTAAGTCCTTTGTTTGCCCCACTTTATTTAATTCTCATTCTTTGTTTTGTTTAGTTTGGCTGGGTTTTGAGACAGGATCGCACTGTGTAGCCCAGGCTGCCTTCAAACTCACTGTAATCCTCCTGTCTCAGCCTTTCAAATTCTGGGATTACAGGCATGTGCCACCACTTCCAGTTTAAACCTCATTGTAACTCTGTGAGGTGCTTGATGACCTTCCTCTCATTCGCCTTTATCCACTGGGACCTTGCCTAAGAGGCAGAACACTTGGGTTTTCTACCCCACACCTGGGGTAGAAAGGATGCATGTGCACACAAGCATCCTTCCTACTTCTCTGACTTCGTCACATGTTACTGCTATACATCTGCTGCACTCCAGCTCCACTGCCCTCAGGCATGCACCTGCCTCAGGGCCTTTGCATTAGCCATTCCCTCTGCCTGGAATGTTATTTCCCCAGAACTTTGCATGGCACAAGTTCTCATTTTCTTCCACTATAGAGGATTTCTGGTTGCCCTCATATAAATTTTCAGTATACAGCGCACACACACACACACACACACACACACACACACACACTTTCTATTCTCTTTCCTTGCTTTCCTTTTTCTCCAAAGCTGCTATCACCACCTAACACATTGCATGCTGTACTTATTTTGTCTGCTCATTGTCTGTGCTCCCTACCGAGTAGCAAGCTCTATGATGTCATTGCTGTGACCCCAGGCTTGGAACAGAGCCCAGCACATAGTGATTGTCCAGTAGGTGTTCCTGAATGAATGACTGTGAACACTGAGGCTCAGTGAGACCAAGCCTTTTGCTCCTGGTCACATAGCCAGTAAGGGCGGAGCCAGCACCTGAGACTGGGTCTACCTCCCGGAGCCTTCTCTTCCATGGGCTGTTATGCATGCTAGGATATGAGGTGGGTCCTAGGAGGAAGCATTTCTACCTTTCCTTTCCCTCATCTCGGCCCAGTTTGAGCAGAGGGAACAGAGGAGCTTCCTGGGACCAAGGAAGGATTACTGGGACTTCCTCTGCACTGCGCTGCGGCGGCATCGAGCAGACATGGAGCAGATCCACGTCATCTCCTTGCAGGACAAGGTAGCCCCGGCCAGGGTGGGAAGCAGAACTGCGCCCTGGCACCAGGCCCTTGACAAGAACGGGGGGCAGAAGTGGGTGCTGGCTTCCTGAGGTCCCTTTCTCACCCACCTCTGCTCCCCTGGCCGTCACCCTCCCCTGGTCCTCTCCTCCCATTGGCCCTGCCCTCAGCGCCCCTCCAGCCACCCCCCTCCTCCCTTCAGGTCCCCTGAGCCCTTCTCATCAGCCAGCCCACTGCCCCCGTCTTTGCTGGCTGAGCGCCCTCTGTCTTAATACTGCCCCCTCTTGGGTTCCCTGTGCACCCTATAGCTGAAGACCTCTCTGGGCAAAGGCCGCGCCTTCCTCCGCTCCTGCCTGGCCCGAGGGCAGCTGGCTGAGTCCCTGCAGCTCTGCCTCCTGAGCCCGGAGCTCACCAGGTGGGACTGCGGGTCATCCTTCTGACTCCATCTGAGCACATGTCAGCCCTCACCCATGGGTGGCTCAGCTTCAAGGATGATGAAATGAGAGTCAGACAGGAAAGGCAGAGGAAGGTCAGAAGTAGGTGCAGGCAGCATGATGCTGCAGAGACCCCTGCCCCAAGGGCCATAGCCCACCCAGAGAGGGTCTATACGGTACCCAGCGGAGGCTGAATCTCAGGGTTTGGGGGTGGCAATAGCACTGGGGTCAAAGAATAGAGTTGCTATCGCTGCTAACACAGGGAGTGGTATGGGCCCCGGAGCCCTCTGCTGTGCCCTGAACTCCAGGAAGACATCCTGGACTCTCTCTATGCTCTCAATGCGGTGACCTTCGACTTGGACCTGCAGCAGCCGGACTTGGATGGGGCCTGGCCCATGTTCTCAGAGTGAGTGGGTGTGGGGCTCCCCTGCTCTCCTGGCCCCCCACATCCCAAGCAAGCTCCAAGCTCTCAGCCTCCAGCCCCATCCGTTTCTTCCTCCCTTCTGCTCCCTGACTTTGATCTTCTACTTCTCTGGCCTTGTTTCCCCACTGGAATCTCATGCTGTTCTGTAATGCTGCGTACAATACACAATCGCTCGAGCCTGGCTGAGTGGTCAGCATGGAGGGTTGGAAGGATGAATGGATGGTGGGATGTCAGGGTGGGATGGCATGGGATGGGATAGATCAGTGGTGGCAAACTTATGGCACACGTGTTATTGTGTTTTTCTTTTAAGACAAAAGATGTTAATGTAAAGTTATTTTTTCTCACTAAAACTTAAGTATTCAAGTTTAACTGTAGCACTGGCACTTCACAATAAATCAGTGGGGTTCGGGCTGCAGTTTGTCAGTCAGTTTCTAAAAGGTTCGCCATCACTGGGCTGGCTGGCTGGATGGAGATAGGAGGGCAGGAAGGCCAGAAGAGTGGTGGGGTGAGTAAGGATGATTGGAAAGAACGTCTTACTTCTGAGGAGCAAAACCACCACTGGAAAGATGCTCAGGGTTCCCCCTTCTCCCTTTTATTTTCAGGTCCCACTGTTCCAATTCTAGCCAGGCCCAGAGAAGAAGACCCAGAAAGACCAAAGAATCCCCAAAGAAGGTATCCTTCCCCACCTTCACTTGCATTGCTCTTGGATATCTGCTTGGGTCCCCCACATTGAGCAGTAGCTGGGCCTCTCTCTCTGTGCAGAGAACCCTAGCAGGATTGAGAAAGAAGTCAGTGTGTGGACCAGGCACTGACAGTCCAAGGAGGAGAGGACTCATGTTCCTGGGGTGGTACCAGTGCCGGGTAGCGGAAAGAAGTGTGCTTCAGGAGCTACTGGGGTCCCAGGAGGAGGCAGAGCAGGGAGGCGACTAGAAGCTTATGGGAAACAGACCAGGGATACCATCTCCTCAGAGACCCCCGCATAGATAGTTCGAGGAGTGACTGAACAGCCAGAGGCCTGACGGGCAACCTCGCTCCCTGCCTTACTCACCGTGTAGCAAGTTACCTGTCCTACTTCATAGGGTGATCATGAGGATGAATTGAGGCCGCCTGTGTGCAGCACAGAGCAAAGGTCCTGGCCACATGCTCACTGTGAGGCAGCTTGTGGGCAGCACCATCACTGTTACTGCCATTCCAGCTTTACACAGAGACCCCAGCTTCCAGTGATAATACCACGGGGACTCAGTCTCTGACCTGCAGGAGTTCAAGGTCTGCTCAGGGAGACAGATGCTAGAGGAGCCATTGCAGTACATGTTAAGGGTGCAGCCAGCCTTCCACATCAGTGGGTTCTGCATCCACAGATTCAACCAACTGCAGAGAGAAAAGATTTGGAAAAAATAATTATACTGAATGTTTACAGTCTTTTTGTCATCATTATTCCTTAAACAGTACAGTATAATAACTATTTACATAACATGTGTGTCACACAAGGTATTATAAGTACTTTGGAGATTATTTACATGACATTATTTGCATAGGTAATATGCAAATGGTATAGCATTTTATGTAGGGACTTGAGCATCCATGGATTTTGGTATCCACTTGGGGTCTGGGCCAGTCCCCCTGGGTACCAAGGGACGACTGTAGTAATACAGACTGGGGTGAAGGAACATGAAACCAAAGAAGGCTTCCTGAGAGAGGACACTCAGCAGGGTGTCTGAGTTTTCAACACAATTCTATAAACCAAATATTAGTCTTATTTACAAGTGAGAAAGTTGAGATACAAAGACAAGTCAGGAGGAGGATTAAAAGAGAAGGGTAGGAAGAACTTAGGGAGGATGGGATCAAAGCAGAAGAACCAAGTGTAGGAGGGAGGCTATGGAGATGTCCTGTTCTTTTTTTTATTTTGGTTTTTCTCTGGTACCGGGAACCGAACTCATGACCTTGCACTTGCCAGGCAGGTGCTTGTGCCGCTGAGCTAAATCCCCAGCCCCCGGAGATGTCCTGTTCTTCCCTCACCAGATCAAAACTGGGGTCTTGGATCACCTGAGGTGTTGCAAAAGTTATTTCTGGTCTGACATATCCGAATTTCCATGTATTTACCCTGGGAGAGCTTAGAAATCCATATATTTAGCAAGCCTGTTGGATCAGTGCTGTGGTCTGCCCAGTGCACTGGGTCAGGGATTGATGCTGAGTTGACTTCTCTGCAGATCTCAGCAGCATCTGGAGGCTCCGGAGAAGTCCAGTCACCTACCAGTCAAGATAGCTACCTACGAGATGCAACCAGAGAAGACCAACTGGCTGGACTCTCCAGGTCCCAGGAACATACATATCTTTCCCTCTTCTTGGAAAAGAAGAGGGAAGACTCCAGGAGCCTTGGTTCCCCCCAAAGCATTTGGGAACCAAGGGAGAAACTTCAGCTAGACCAGGAAGAGGGAGCCCTGAGGACTAGGAGACTCTTGGAGAACTCAGCAGCCAACATCCAGCAACAGAAAGAAGGGGCCAAGGAGGCCCAGAAGAAAAAGCCTGGAATGGAGACTGAACTCAGAGGGGTTCTGTCAAGTCCGGAGGGTCAGAGAACAGAGGGGCCTCCTGGAGAAGAGGCAAAGAGGACCCATGGCCAGGCTCCACTGGCTTCCAGCCCCAGAAGGACGATAGAGGAGGTCCCTTCAGGGAGCAGGCCAGGGTGGGAAGTGCCTAGCGTTCCGGGAGAGTCCTGGATTTTCCAGGACCTGGGAACAAAGGAAGTCTCCATCTCAGAACAGCCACAAGAACAAACAGAAGTGACTGGTGTTGGCAGGAAAGAGGAGCAAGCAGAGGCGCCCTTGCAGGACATGGTGAAGGTGAGAGTGCAGCTGTGCTCCGTACCTGTCTGTTCTCCCCGCTCTAACCTGGCGCACAGATGGGGCTGCCTGGTGGTAGCCTGGGGACCATCCCAGCCCACAGATCATCCTTGACTGCTCGGCCCCAGATGAGGATTTGGGGCTGCCTCTTGAAAGCTGTGTATTCTTCAGCTCACCACAATTCCCCTCCTCCTTGCACCTCACACAGGACTCACTTGTCCATCATACCTCCCACCTGGCTCTGCCGGCATTTGAGTCTGAGGTCCCATCCCAACAGTTCTTCAGGGCAGTCACTTGTGCTCCTGTGTCCCTCATCCTGGCAGGTGCCATCCCAGTCTCTGAGCTTCACTGCTGCAGACCCCACCTCATCACTCTCGTAGACGATTGTCCCGGAGGTCACCCAGGCCTCCAACCTCCTCCCTAGCCAGTCTTCCAGCTCCTGGAGCTTTCTGACCTCCATCCTTCTGTGAAGCAGGAAATGGTGGCCCCAGACTCACCTGGGGCAGGGCCTAGGGCAGAACCAGGCACCCCAGCTCCCAGCTGTCCCCAGTCTGCCTCCACCCAAGGGCATGGCCTGGGGACTTAACCAGATCTGGGTTCTGTGCCCTCCTCCTTCAGCTTCCCCTTCCCTTCCACCTCCAGACCCTCAGACACGGGCTCCGGAGGGCCGAGGAGCAGGCGCGGCGCCAGGAGCAGCTGCTGACAGCACGGGATGGTGAGCTGCAGGCACTTCAGGAGCAGCTCCGCAGGTGACCTTGGCAACTCCAGCAGGATGGGCTCCTGCTCTCGGGCTGGCCAGCAAGGCCTTCTGAGCACTGCCATGCACCAGGTCTTATGCTGGGTACAGCTTGGGGGTGCTGAGGCCAATGCAATGAGGGCATTGTTCCTGCTCCCCTACCTTCCCCTCCTACCACCAGCTTCCCCGGCAGCCCCAGGAGAGGCCTCTGCGCCCTGCCCCACCTTCCCTGCCATGCTCAGACTTGCCTTTCTACTGCCTCTTTTGGGCCACGTCTGTCTTTTCAATCCACTCTGCCCCATCACCTCACCCCACCCCCAGTTTCTTCCTGTGCCTTCTTTTACTGTAGTATTTTCTAACCCACTTTATAGATGAGCACACTAAGGCTTGGAGATGTTACACACTCCACGAGTGTGAGCCAGTTCCCAGAGGAGCGAGATCCAAACCCTGCAGCTGACTCCAGAGAGAGGGCCTCTGTCACCGCCCCTTGGCAAGTTCGTTGAGTACAGTCGCCCCCTATCCGTGGGGTTTGGTTCCAGCCCCCCATGCACGGCCGCATCCACCCAGGCTCGTCTCTTCTGTGAAATGGCACAAGGCTGGCACGGCCTGTGCACATCCTCCTCTAACCTTTAAATCATCTCTAGATTATCTATTGATAATACCTCATGCAATGTAAATGCTTCCTAAAGAGGCTTTATACTGTTTTTTTAAGGACATAATGACAAGAAAAAAGTCTTTACATGTTCAAAACAGAAACTTTTCTCAAAACATTTTTAATCCACAGTGGGTTAAGACTGCAGGTGCAGAGCCTGTGCACACAGCGAGCGGGCTGTCCTCAGGCTGTCTCCACCCTCCCCGCGCAGCAGCTCCCTTCCCGTTACCATCTTGCCCTCAGGACGCAGAAAGGGCTGCCTAAGCTCTCCCTCAGTCTCTCCACGTCCCAGTTTCTCCTTCAGACTTTATTTTTTAAAATGTCTGCACCATGCAAAGACCCTCTCGGGGCTGACTCACTCACTCTCTGTGTGCCTCTTTCCTTCGGTCTCCAAGTGTCTCAGTCTACCCACCCGCCTCTGTCTCTCCCATGAGGCTGACAGGGTCAGGGGCCCGTGTCCAAGCCCTAGCACAGGCTCAGTCGCTGTGATTCAACCTGAATCACTGGGAAACCTACTGACTGTCTGCCTAAGAGCTTTTGGTAGAACCGCTCCATTCCTGGTGCCTAAAACAGCCCCTGGCACATGGTGGGTGCCTAATAAGTATTCCCTCCCACCCCAGACACACACAGTGGTCACATGAAGACCTGGGATTGCTGAACAAGTAAACCAGCTCAGGAGAATAAGTGTCAGCAGCTAGGGAATGAGGAGGCTGGCCGTTAGAAGGGTCATTAAAAGTCAAAAATGGCCTGATTCAGGCCTGAGCACCAAAACACTTTATAAAAGGTTCAGGTGGCAATTTATTGGAACTTCTGTGGCTCTCTGTTGTCCATTTTATTTCAGGGCCCATCCCACTTTCCTTCCTGCAGCTCACTAAATGGCAGTGGCTTAAAAATTAATAGTTTTGTCATTTTGAAATCTCTTTTCAAACCATTTTCCTTCCAATTCACTGAAGCCCAAGGACGTGTGCACACATAGCCCCTAGCCAGCCACCTTTCCAACAGCAAAAGTCAGAGGCAGGGACATAGGCTGGGACGTTTTCATTTCCAATTCCGCAGACATCTAGAAAACCACTAAAGGCAAAGAAGGCAAGAATAGAACTGAGGAAGTTCCAGGTCCAAAACTAAAACAGAAATTTGGGAAAGTCATAGCATTTCTTTTTTTTTTTTCTTTTTGAGACAGAGTCTCGCTATGCAGTTCAGGCTGGCCTTGAGCTCACTTTGTGGCCCAGGCTGGCCTCAAGCTCGCAACGATCCTCCTGCCTCAGCCTCCCGAATGCTAGGATTACAGGTGTACGCCACCATGCCAGGCAAAAGCCATATTTCTACCATTACTTTCTTTTTTTTTTTCTTTAAACTGGGAATCAAACTCAAGACCTTGCACTTGCAAGCAGGTACTGTGCCACTGAGCTATATTCCCAGCCCTACCATAACTTTTAACAGTATTTTAAACCAAAAAATCACATCCAATCCTACACTGCTCCTCCTCCACACATAATTGCTTCCAGCTGGGCACAGTCTGTCCCGCCTGTGTTCCCAGGCAGCCGTCTTCCCTTAGAGAGCGGCCGTGGTTATGAACATATCTTTCAAGAAAATTACACTTTAAAAATGGAAATGTTAATTAAAAAGAAAGGAAGTGAAGATGGCAATGTTGGTTAGTCCCCTCTATAGGGGTGCTCCAGGCAAGGCCCTATTTTCATTTCTCTGAACAATTACTGTAGAGTCCCCTGTAGGTGTGAGATGACAGTGCTCAGTTTGGTGTGTGTGTGTGTGGGTGGGTGTGTGCGCATGTGCGCGCACATGGATTTCAGGTACAGGAGGCATCACCATCTTCTCCCAGGGGCTCAAGAGGCCCAAATGCTCAGCTTTTTCCCCCTCAGAACTGAGTCTCCCTTCTGCCAGGTGTGAGGAAGAGAGAGCCCAGCTGCAGGCAGAGCTGAGGCAGAAGCAACAGGAGGCCGAGAGGAGGGATGCCACCTATGAGGAAGAGCTTAGAGGGCAGCGGGACCTGATCCAGGCCATGAAGAGGAGGATGCTGGAACTGATTCAGTAAGGACAGGGATGGGAGACTGCAAATGGCAAGGGAAGTGGGACCCAGAGTGAAAATTTGACTCCACCAACAACTTTCAAGCAGGGATCTAGATCTTTCATGGATACTAACTCATTTACTTCTTTTAGCCACCCTTTGTTATTATCCCCATTTTACAGATGAGGAAACTGAGGGTCAGAGAGGCAGACCTGGTCATCAAGGACACACAGCATATAAATTGCAGAGTCATCTGGCAATAATGCATCTCCCCACCCCAAGCCACCTCCGCATACACAAACATACCTACTAAGGTTAGGAGAAGAGATAGGAGTTCCTGGATTAAGAAGAAATTAGGAAAAGGAGAAAAACCACAGGGGTAACCAAGAGGTAATCATATGTGCTACACCTGCCTCACACACCTGGGCTGCTCTAGCTGAGCTGTCCTGAGTTCCAGAGGCCAGGTTCCAGGGTCAGTTCCAAGCCACTAAGCTCTCCAAGAGATGGACATAGCTTCTACTCCTCAGTTTGATATGCAGATAATTCACATACATGTTATCCTTTCTTGTAGCTGAGGAACCAGGAGGCCATTGGGCCCAGACCCCATTAAAATTAGAATGCTGGTAGGAAGTCATCCAGATGAAATCCTTTTCCACAAAATCCACATATGAAGATGAGAAAAGGGGCAGATCAATGTGGAAAGGATAAACAAGTAATTTAAGAAGTGAGATCCTCTCAGGAACTAACTGTCCATTGAGTAGGAAGAAAGGGAGGTATAAAAAGTTAACTATTTCACAAAAAAATCTAGGGGACAGTAGTAAGGGGACAGATGAAAAGGTAGCCCACAGAAAAAGACACATATGTGATCATTAAGGAAAACTAGATTTAATGAAAAATGTAATGGAAGACAAAAATATACACTACTCCCAAAGTGTTAAAATTAGGGTTAGTGTTAAAACTCAACTCCAAACATCTTCGCAGGAGGATCAAAAAAAGGAAGACAGGTTTGTTACCCAAACCCTCCTATCCATTCAAAGGAATATAATAGCTCATCAGGAGAAACATATATTTTTTTCCTGGAACTAAAGGAATTAATCACAAGTCCTAAGGCAAGGAACTCAAAACTTAATGGAAACTATGACCTTTAGCCAAAAGAAGGGGGAAGGGAGCCACAGAGGTTAACTTCTGTCAAGATGGTGGACTAAGACAGGCCTGTGATCCCAGCACTCTGGAAGGTTGAAGCAAGAGGATCACAAGTTTGAGCTCAGCCTAGTCAACTCAGCAACTTAGAGACACCTGTCTCAAAATGAATGAAAATAAAAGGGCTGGGGATGTATCTCAGTGCAGGCCTTGATTTAATCCCCAATGTTATATGTACACACACACACAGACAGATGGTGGACTGAACACACGTCATCTATTCTCCATCTTGAGATCTAACTAAATGGTTGTAAAAGAATAAAACCTATAACAGAGAGGAAGGTGGAGAAGCCAACCACAGAGGAGGAATTCTGCTTAATCACCAGATTCTGTGGATACTGTATGAAGCCCAAATTAGACCTTCAAGACCCAGAGACCCCAGGACACACACGGTGAAGGAAGATGAGTGAGAAAGTTAGCATCCCCTCCCCTCTGCATGCCTTTCCACATGCAGACTATGGAGCAACAAGGGCCTGTCTCCAAGGCAACTAATCAAAAGTTCCTCTCTAAAGAAATGTGTATGTCCCAAGTAGAAGAGCACCTTATGCCCAGCAAAGGGTGGGTGGGAGTCTCATATGCCAGGTAGCTCCTTGCCCAGTGATTCCTAAAGAGAAACTACTTGTTGACATCCCTGTCCATTACTGGATAGAAGTAATGTTCCCCATTACTCAGAGCTCCATCCAGCCTCTACAGCCTGTTTCCTAAACATGAAATAGCAACCAAGATCCCCAGACATTAGAAAGCCTAGACCAGAAAGGGGACAGATGAAAATAAATGGACCAACAAGAACGATGATCTACCTCCCGTGGAACAGAAAGCTGGGAAAGCAACTGCCAAAAATGAGAAGTGTTTTTGGAAATGAAAAATATGTTTACTGAATTTTTAAGAAATTCACTAAGTATTGGAAGAGGCAGATGAGGGAGGCTCTTAAAAACTAGAATAAAAAGCACAGAGTTGGAAGGCATGAGAGAAATAGAAACATATCAGTGTAGGGGTTCCAATATCCCCCCAAGTAACAGAAGTTCCCCTAAAAGGACAAAATAAAACGATGGAGATAATCAAATAAAGTATGACAAACACAAAAATACAAAAGACTTTCTGGTCCTGATGGACTCAGATTTCAATATTATACTACGTAATTGGCACAATAAGTGAAAAAACAAAACAAACAATAACGCACCTGGTATAACACTGAAATTTCAGTAAAACAAAGATTAAGAAAATATTTTCAAGCTGTCTAAAGGAAAATGCAGACCACCTACAAATGAAGTAGAACCCAACACTTGTCAAGGATCTATGATATAGTAATACTCTTCCAGTTTTGAGAAAAGCTGTCTTTTGCACTAGAATTCCACGTCCAGCCAAAGCATGAATTTGAAGTGGTAAAGGTAATGGAGAAAGGCGTCTATCAGACAGACAGATCTCAGAAATCTGACCTCCCACACAGCCGTTCTTAGGAAGTTATTTGAGGATGTGCCCCAGAAAAATAAGGAAGTAAGCCAAGAAAGAAGAAGATATGGAATTCAGGAAACAATAGTTCTACCTAGGAGGACGAAAAAGGGAATTCCCAAGATGACAAGTGGGCAGCAAGCCCAGGGAGCAGTCAATCTAGATTGTAAAAGAGGAATCTGGAGCTCAGGAAGAAGAAAGTCTCTGGAGAAAAGGAGAATCAAGAGAATACTTGACATGATGAAGAATTTGGAGACAAATAATATGTTAAAGGCAAGTAATACAAAGTAAAGGAAGGCAATTAAAAACTCCCAGAAAAACAAAGGCCTTTCAAGAATAGAACACAACTTAGGGGCCTGGGATATAGTTCAGCAGCACAGCAACTGCCTGGTAAACACAAGGTTATGAGTTTGATTCCTGGTACCAAAAACAAAACATGACTTAGCTCTTTGGGAAGATATATATAGTATATCCATTTGGATTTTTTTTCCTTTTTTGTTTTTTTTGTTTGTTTTGTTTGTTTTGTGTGTGTGTGTGTGTGGTGCTGGGAATCGATCCCAGGGCCTCACACATGCTAGGCAAGCACTCTACCACTAAGCTACACATTCAACCCTTTGTTTTTTTCAATGTAAGAATCAACCAAAGACAAAGCCCAGAGGTAATTATAATTATAGAAACAGACTATGAGTGTTACCACCTGAACAATCCAGAAGTATATGGAGCAGGCGCCAACAAAATACCCTGTGAAGATGGAAATGTTCTATGTTTGTGTTGCTTATATACACAGATTGAGCTATGTTTGAGCTAATGTTCTATGTTTGCTTATATACCCAGATTGAGCACTTAAAGCACTTAGTGGATGCAACTGAGGAACTGAGGGTTTCATTGCATTTAACTTTAGTCAGTTTATGTTAGAATAGAAGCACGTGGCAGTAGCTGCCATACTGGATGCTCTGCAGATGGATGGCAAGTTAGGAAGAGGAAGGAGGATTGCTGAGCGGGGAGGGATGCTGGCAGCATGGTATTACAGAACAGGGGTCATAAGGTCTTACCTGTAGTCAGGAGAATGAAAATAGATACATGAGCATATTCTGTGAAATTACAGTGATAAACAATAGAGGAATCAAAAAGACAGTTAGCCCTGCACTGAGAGGAAAGAAAAGTTGATGAAGCTTAGAAAAAAAGCAGAATGGATCCTCTGCACCAAAAAAGGTGCTCCATAGAAAATGTTCTCTACTGAGATGGGGATGTGATCATATTAGTTAGAGATGAAACTAATACCAAGGAGAAAAGCAAAAAACCACAAAGGTAAGAAATGTAGCTCAGGCTGGCCTTGAACTCTCAGTGATCCTCCTGCCTCAGCCTCCTGAGTGCTGGGATTACACCACCATACCCAGAGCCCTATCTAAGTTTTAAATTATGTGTGTGTTTTATTTTGACAAAAATTTAAAACATCCTATATTCCTAAATACCCTTTTAAAAAACCTGATGTTAGTTTTCCAAGGGCATAAACAAAGAAATACAAAGCAGTCTCAGTGCCAAATAAAAGATAACAGATGGGGCTGGGGATTTAGCTCAGCGGCAAAAGCGCCTGCCTGGCATGCACAAGGTCGTGAGTTCGGTTCCCGGTACCGGAGAAAAACCAAAAAAAAAAAAAAAAAAAGATAACAGGCTGACTGTGTTATTGGCCCAGAGAGAACCCGAAGCTCCTAAGCCCAGGGAGCATGCTTTGGAGGTGGAAGACAGGTTCTTAACAATGGCCAGAACTGTGGGACTGGGGGAGCGGGGTGTCATCGTGCTCCTTCCCAGAGGCTAACGACTGTCTCTGTTCTGTGTGTGTCTCCTCACTTCTGTCTCTCTCCCTCCTGTGTCTCTGTTTCTCTCCCTGCCTATATCTCTGTTTCCCCGTCTCTGCATCTTGTTCTCTTTCCCTCCATCCGCATTTGTGTCTCCATCTGCTTCTCTGTGCATCTCTGTCTCCCTCTTCAACTCTCCGATCCCATTCTCTCTCCCTCCTCTTTTCCTTCTCCGTTCTGTGTGTCTGTCTTGCTGCTCCTCTGTCCTGGTGTCTTCTCACGCTGTGTCTGTGTACGTCTGTGTGCCTCCATCTGGCGCTGTCTCCATCTCCTTTCCTCTTTCGTTACCTCCGCACTTCTCTTTCTGCTCCCCTCGACCCCCTGGCGTCTGTTGTGTCCACTTCCTCCCATCCCCTAGGGAGAAGGACCGCCAGTGGCAGAGGCTCCAGCAGCTCTCGGGTTTGGTCCCTGGCTGCTGCATGGGCTGTAGCAAGGTCTTCGGCCGACTGTCCCGGAGGTACCCGTGCAGGTAATGGGAAGCTCCACCCACGGCTGCCTGCCTCAGAGAAAGGAGGAATGGAAAATAGGCGTTTATAAAAGGCTGTTTAAGCCTGACCACTCTGGCTTGATGTCTGGCTTTTGACACTAAAGAGGGTGATGAATAAGACGGTGGGAAGAGGCAAAGAAAGCTGGGGTCTGGGAGCTGGGGTTGTATAACCTTCCAAGAATAGACAGCTACTCTCTTGGTTAGGGAAACACAGAGAGAGCGGCTGTCTTCATCTTCCACTGCCATCACGGTGGCAGGATGAACAACAGGAAGAAATAGACCATCAGGAGAACCCACCATTCAGAGATAGAGGTTCTCAGAAGTCGAGGGCATCAGGAAAGGGGACAGACCAAGGGCCATCCTGCTAGGAGATTAGAAACGCAGACGCGCTCAAAGATGCTGAAACTCATGACTCCCAGCACTTATCTTGGCACTCCCCGGTGAGCTGCAGAAACCACCAGGTTTCCTGCCTCTGCCCTCTAGGCGCTGTGGAGGCCTGGTTTGCCACGCCTGCTCTGCAGATTACAAGAAGAGAGACCGCTGCTGCCCATGCTGTGCCCAGGGAGGAGAAGCCCAGGTTAAGTGACCAAGATCAGCCCGGGTCTCCCACCGGTGGAAGAGCTGGGTGGGATACGCATTAGGCTCTCAGCCATGCTCTCTAATCTGAGGAAAACGGGCGCCAGCCTCCCTGTAATGTCCCTCAAGGCTCAGCAAATTCATGACTGTGAATTGCCCTGGGCCCTGCTGCTTCTCCACCCTCCCTTCTTGCCCAGCTGCGGTGCCCACCCCACACCCTTCCCAGCAGCACAGCCGGCACCTGTGCGACTCTTCCGTAGCTTTCTGTGGCGTCTGTTTCCCAGACCTGCATTTGATTCATTTTGTTTTGCTGTGCTTTGCTTTTAATAGATTTATTGAGGTGCTATTGACATATAATAAACATTACATTAATTTGATGAGTTTTGACTTTAATACCGTGAAGCCCTCACCTACATTCAAGCTGTTCCTTCAGCCCCAAGGGTTCCCTGTGCCTCTTTGTAATCTCCCTCCCTCCATGCCCAGGCCACCATTGACCCTGCTTCCTGTTACCATGGACAAATGTGCACTTCCTTGAATTGTATAGAAATGAAATCAGACAGTATAAACTCTTTAGTATCTGCCTTCTCTCACTCAGCATAATTATTCTGAGATCCATCCAGCTATTGCATCTATCGGTAGTTCTTTTCCATTGTTGAGTAATACCCCGCTGCATGGATATGCCGCAAATTGTTTGTACATGCACCTGTCGCTTCACATTTGTGTTGCTTCCAGTTTGGGACTATGACAGATAGGGTTCATCTGAGCATCTGTACACAAGTCTTTGTGTAGAAATATACTTACATTTTTCTGGGGTGAATACCTACATATGTATGGCTGGATCACATGATAGGAGGATGCTTAACATTTAAAAAACTGCCAAACTACAGTCTCTCAGTATCTGTATGGGATTGATTTCAGGACTCCCTGTAGATACCAAAATCCGAGGATGCTCAAGTCCCTTATGTAAAATGGTATAGTATTTGCATGCAACCTACACATATCCCTCCCTTACATTTTAAGTCATCTCTCACTTACTTATAATAACTAATACAGTGACGATGCAATATCAATAGTTACTATACTGTGCTGTTTAGGGAATAATGACAGTGGGAAAATCTGTACATGTTTTTAAAAAATATTTTTGACCATCTTTGGTTGAATTTCTGGATGTAGAAACTGGAGATGGAGAAGGACCGGCTGTATTTTCCAAAGACACTGTATGCTGTACCCTCTCCCCAGCAATAGGTGAAAGTCCCAGCTGCTCTCCAGGGTGTCTAGAGACACCTTGATGGCCAGGAGAGGAGGCCTGGGGCTCTCTGTCCTTCCCATCTGATCACTGTATGACTTGGTGGTCCCGAGCTGTGAGTGCCTGAAGACAAAGGCCAAGAGCAGGTGACGCTGCCCTGTGTTCAATCAGACCTTGATAAAGACAGAGGACGAGTTGACCACAGTGTAAGATCACTTCCCCTGCTCCAGCCAGGAAGGCTTACGCAAATGGCTTGTCACCCACTGGGCACCTACTTGTGGTGCTTCTGAGAAACCTGTTTCAGAAGAAATGTGGGCCCCTCTCCATGACAAGTCACTTAGCTGCCCTGCCAGGGCTCTTGAGCACAGTGTGTCCCAACAGGCATTTGCTCCCAGCGGCTCTGCCTTACACATAGTGCCAGAGTCTCTGCAGCACTTGGGCAATCCTGTGGCTCTGACCAGAGCCCATGGCCGGCCTCTTGGGGTCAGGGCTGCGCAAAATTGCATCCATTGCCTTTGTGTGGAGCAACAGTTTTGCAACCACAGTTTCTGCCCTGGAGAGCTGGTGAAAACTTCTCCTTAGTAAACACAGTAAAAAGGTGGTAAGAAGGAGCTGGGGGGGGCTCCTCAGCAATAAGGTAATAGTCACCCAAAAAGGGCAGCAGTATCTCCTGAAGATCAGACTGGCACACACACTTTTACTGGGTGCAGGGTTCTTAGCACAGCAGAAAAATGTCGTAATGGTAGGAATTCCAATAGGGAGCTCGGGTCTTTCTAGCAAGTGGTCGGGGCTGGGCATGGCTAGCAGAGCCTACTTTCAAAGAGGGAGATGCTTCTAGAAGAGAGCTCATCAGAAGGGAATGGAGGGCCAGGAACAAGGGAGCAGAGCCCCCCTCCTCCTCCTTCTCCTCCTCTTCCTCCAGTTTGGAGAAAGGAAGGACAACACTGAGTCCCAGGCTCAGGCTCAACTCTGCTCTTAAAACGTCCCCGTCAAGCCCGGTGCAGACCAAAATAGCTCCAAAAAGCACCAGAAAACTGTGTTAGACTTTGGGGACCCTCGAGCAGAAAGTTCCACGGTGGCCACCACAGCCCACTCCAGACCCTAGCACTGCAAGGGCAGCGGTCGCATGGTGCATGTCCAGCCACAGCAGTGCCACCAGGAACACATGGAAGATGTTCCACAGACGGCCAAGGAGCACCACAGAGGCTGAAGTCCTGCACAGACACAGGGGGTCTACACTGCTGTAGATGGGGTTATTAATGTGACTTTATTTCTCTCATAGCCTGGGGACATCCTGGGAAGTTTGGACAATAAAATTACATAGCTCTTAGCATGGCACAGTGGTACTTGCTTATAATTCCAGATACTCAGGAGGCTGAAGCAAGAAGATCACAAGTTCAAGGACAGCTTGGGCAACATAGCAATACCCTATCTTAAATGAAATAAAATAAAATGAAGAGTTAGGGTATAGTTCAGTGGTAGAGCACTTGCCTAGCATACACAAGGCCCTGGGCTCAATCTCTAGTGTAGAAAAAAAGAAAGAGAAAGAGTGAAAGAAAGAAAGAGAGAGAGAAAGAAAGAAAGAAAGAAAAGCAAGAAAGCAAGAAAGCAAGAAAGAAAAAGAAAGAAAGAAAGAAAGAGGAAGGAAGAAAGAAAAGCAAGAAAGCAAGAAAGCAAGAAAGAAAGAAAGAAAGAAAGAAAGAAAGAAAGGATTAGTTACTTTTTCTCCTTGCTGAGACAAAATATGCAACACCCAAAGTTAAAGGAGGAAAGATTTATTTCTGCTCACAGTTTATAGAGGTCTCAGTCCATAGCTGGCTGGCTCCAAGGCAGGGTGACATGGCAGAGGAGAAATAGCAGAGGGCAGCAAAGCAGAAGGCAGCAAATGAAGTAGTAAAGCAGCAAGACCTTTTTACTTGTTTAAATCAAATGCCAGTGGGATAGCCCTTGTACATCAGTTTCTCCAAACTTTGTCAAGTTAGTCCACACTCAACAAAAATGTATTAATCACTAGTGATGTGCTTAACCTTGTGAATGGTTTGGGACACAGAGATAAATATACACATAAAATCCAAGCTTTAAAGATGTAGAGGAAGAAACAGCCAGACAGATGGATAATTACAAAACCTAGGCTGAATGTGGAAGGAAAACTGAGGGTTGGCAGACCAGAGGGTGTAGAAGAACATTTCAAGGAAAGTGGACCTTGGCACCAAGACCCGAAGGAGAAGCCGGAACACCCTTGCAGGGACTGCAGGTGACTCACAGCAGCCGAATTAAGGGTTCCAGGGTGCAGCTGGCAGAAACAGGACGGAAAAGTCACAGGGGTCAGCAGCAAGGGTACCAAGTGCTCAGGTCATGACTTCAACTTTACTTGAGAGACACAGAGGTCCCTGCAAGGTTTTAGGAGGAAAAGAAGGTGATTAAATTCATATTTTAGGAAACTTGTCCATCAACAAAGCAGAGGGTGGATATAAGAGGGAAAGGCTTGAGGCAGAGGTCGTTTAGGGGAGGAAGGAGAGGAGAAGGAGCAAGGGAGGGAAGATGGGAACCAGCAGAAACAGCAGCAGCAGCTTACAATGCCAAGCATCATTCTCATGCTCTATAAAGACAGTCATTCATTCAATCCCAGTAAAAGCCCTCTGCACTGGGTGTTCCCATCATGCCCATTTTACAGATGATGAAACTGAAAGCCAGTGAGATTAAATCACTTGCCCACAATTAGTAAGGTTCACAACTAATAAGTGAATCAGCCAGCTCAGATCCGGAACCTGCAATCATTGCATGATTGTTGTAGTTTATGCAACAGAGGATGAAGTGTTGCCTAATGTGGTCAGTGAAGATGACAAAAGCTATCAAGTCCAGAGCAAGGTTAAGGAGAGGAAGAGCAAGGAGGGTGTGAGGTGAGGGACCTGCACGTCTCTGACTTGGGCAGAACAGTGGATGAGAGGACGCTTAGGAGGAAAAGTCCATATATCAGGAAAGACAATGGGATATGTTTGCTATGTGTTGAGTTCACAGTATCTGCGGGGCCATGGGGAGTTTGCAGGAGGTCATTGCACATCGGAGTTTGGGGCCTGGGAGAGAAGCTGCTTGGTATGAGAGACACTGTGCAGGATATGGGCTGGTGCCATGAATGCGGTAGAGTCACCTGGGGAGGGAGGACCAAGGAAGGAACCAAGAAACATTCACATTTCAGGAACGAATTGAGAAGCAACAAATGAGAGCAAGAGAAATTAGAGGGAAATGAGAAGAGAACAGGTGTAATCATATAGAGATCAAGAAAGAGAAAACGCAAGTGGTCACTTTTCCACCAAAAAGTTTTAAAGCAGTGGTGGTGAACCTATGGCACACCTGCCAGAGTGGGCTGTTTGTATCACTGAAAATTCTAACAGGCTCATCATCACTGTTGTACTTGGGGGTGTAGCTCAGAAGTAGAGCATTTGCCTAGTATGCGCAAGACCTTGGGTTCCATCCCCAGCAGCAACAATACCAAGTGTACAGCAGGATGAGAGAAAATACTTTAACATAACCAACAAATATTCAAAATACAATATTCCCACATTATATAAAAAGCACCTGCAAATCCGTTGACAAAATGATAATCTGATGCAAAAGAGAAACAGATAAGAATAAATAATTCACAAAAGAAAAATACAAATATCTATAGGGAAACATACTCAAGCTCACTGTCAACTCAAGAACATACAAATTAAATGATGAGAGATCATTTCCAGTTATCTGACTGAACAATGGTCATAGTGATCTACAGGGTATACGGGAGTAAATTGGCATGGTGTTTTTGAAAGGCAATTTAGTAGTATTTATCAAAGTCACACACACAATGAATATTACCCAGAAAAATTATACTTAAGGTGCAAAAATACTCATACAAGCTCCCAAAGCCTTCTATCTAAGGATGCTCACAGTAAGAACCTAAATATTTATCTATAAGGTAATTATCAAATGAATGATACTTCCACGCCATGGAGTATTATGTAGTCACTGAAATGAATGATAGGTCTATACATACTGAGGTAGAATAGACCTATGACACATTGTTAACATTCAGGCAATATAGCTAATAAAAACACCTTGTTTATCAAGGAAAGAAGAACATGGATTTGTGTTTGCCCGAGGAAAGATATACACAAAAACTATGAATGGTAGTTGCCTTGGGGGAAAGATATAGATGAGCAGAGAAGGAAAAGGGAAGTGAGAATTTCAAGGTTTACCTTACATGCCTTTGTTTTGCATGCATTGATCCCAAAATGCATGTTTTATTTTTATAATATTAAAACAGTTTTGTTGAAGAAAAGCGTCTGCTAAGTTTAGCAACCCAGTAATTATTGTTAACTGAGGCAAAAGTTATTTCTGTGGGGCAGTAGGAAGGAAGCCAGTGGCAGTGTGTTTCTGGGCAAGAAGCAGAAAGTCAGGAAGTGGGGACAGCAGCTGTGTTGGCCTGCTTTTTCAGTAAGTTTGCCTGTGACAAGGGGGATACAGCAGCATAGAAACTAAAAGGGTCCCAGAACAGAGAGAAGGTGAGGAAGATACAAGCGAGCTCAGGGTAGAAGGGAAAGAGCCAGTTGAGGGACAGACAGGCCAGGAGGCAGGATCTCAAGGATGGGGAGGCAGTGGGCCTCCCAGCCAGGGGCGAGGGCTCCAAAGAAACACAAGGAACACTTCCCATGCTGCCCCTGTGAGAGAGGAAGAGCCTGCACGTGCAAGTTTAGGTAAGTCATTTGGAGGGCTGGGGGGCCGGAACATCTTCCTTGTTAAAAGGAGGTACAGGCTCCCAGTGCTCAGAGAAGCAAGCCTCCACCTCCACACTGGCAGGCAGGAAGGTGTGAACACTCCAGGGCTCATCTCAGAACTACCAGGTGGGAACTTAGCCTGGGATCAGAGTCCCAGATCAGAGCTCACCGCTCGTCTGTGGGACACCTCCCCTGCCCACCCCCTGGACTTCTCTCCCCTTGGCAGCCCAAGTCAAAAGCCTTCCCAACAAGGCTGCCTCGCTTACTTCCTGCCCAATAGCCCTGATAGCTACCAAGCCTTGAGTCACAGCAAGAGTGTCGGTGGCCACTCCAATCACAACAGCAGGTAAACGAGTTGACCTGTCTTAGAGCTGTTGGGGACATGACCCCGATGGAAGGGACTTGGAAATTTCAGCCTTCCCTGAGGCCCCGGAAAATTGGAGAGATGCACTGCAGAAGCTTGGAGCTATCACCGAGTCTTCGCCTAGATCATGCTGTACAAAGCTCTCTCCGCAGGAATGATCACGTTCGGTGTCTGCACAGGCCAACATGGCAGCCACTGGCCACATGCGGCTTCTGAGCACTGGACATGTGGCTATGATCAAGGAACTAAAGTTTTATTTTATTTTAATTGATTTATATTTAAATAGCTACATGTGGCTAGGTAGAACAGTTTCCCCATTTTCCAAAACAGGCCCCTAAGACCCAAAGAGAGATGAGCCATCCACTCTCACCCTGGCTATCAGCAGCAGAAGCAAGATAGAAACCGAGCACTTTATTCACTCCCTTTATGCACATATATGCATGCAGGGGGCTCAGAGGAAAGGAAATCAACCTAAGGAACATCAAGAAGGGGCAGTTGGAGATTGTGTAATCTGAAACCTCTTCACCATCCTAGCGCTCGGGTCTCTGGAACAGAGAAGCACCTAACGGAGCTCAGAAACCTGAGTCTGATCCAGCTCCTTGTCACAGTGGACAAAATATAGGATTGACTTAAGAGCTGATAAAAACTATTTTTAAAACTGTTTAAGCCCCAGTTCCGCTGTGTCACTGTAACTTGCTTAACCTCTTGGAGTCTTAATTTCCTCATTTAGAAAGTGCCAACCTAGTGGGGTTGTCGGGAGGATTAAAAGATACAAATTCTGAAAAAAACTTTGTCCGTGAAAGTAGAACCAAGTAGGTACTCAAGATTGCAATTAATAAGACTACTGTTCTCCTGGTCAAAGGAGTCAGCCTTGAAAGTAGGCTTGCTGATCTCCCTTCACTGGGGATGTAGTAGGAGAGACATCATGTTATCTGTTAATAAACTATCCCATCATTAGTGATCACAACCATAAAAGTTAACACTGTGCTTTGGGTGTTTCCCAAGTACGCTCCAGGTAACCCCTCATTTCATACTCCCACAGCCTAATGAGTTGGATTCTATGGACGGCCCCATTTTACAGAAGAGTCAATTGAGGCTCAGAAAGGGAAAGTATTTGCCCAGTGTTGCTCAGCTAGTTCTGCTCTCATTTGCCTCTCTCCAGCAGTAATGAACCTCAGTCTGGTTTTAGCATCAACTGGCCAGGTGTCGTTACGTTCTTCCCCGGTATGGGAAAGACAGGTGACTCATCCTGAGTAATATCTGCTGAACAGTAGGAAGGGCCCTTTCCTTGGAGTAGGCCATGTAAGTGAGTCTGTCCCAGGATTTGAGGGCTCTCTGGGCCCCAGGATGCAGGAAGCAATGGGGGGGCACCGTTCTTTGGGGTGGGTGTGAGGAGGGGGCAGGAAAATGTTCCTAGCTCTACCTGTGTTAATCTTTTATCTCATAGTAACAAATGGAATAAGGTGGTGGGGATTTAGCTCAGCGGCAAAACGCCTGCCTGGCAAGTGCAAAGTCATGAGTTCGATTCCTGGTACCAGAAGAAAAAAAACAAAGTAACAAATGGGACAAAGTACATTCTTAGTATCACTCAACACATTTTCAAAAAATGTGTTTGCATTTGGGTAGGGTTCTCACTTTTTATTTTAATTAATTTATTTATTTCTGTCTCTTTGAGACAGGGTCTTGCTATGCAGTTCAGGCTGGCCTTGAGCTCACTTTGTTGCCCAGGCTGGTCTCAAACTCACAACAATCCTTCTGCCTCAGCCTCCCAAATGCTGGGATTACAGGCGTGGGCCACCACACCTGGCTTGGATTCTCACTTTTAGCAAAAAGGATTTTGTTTTTTTTTTTCCAAATTAGGTCTTGGCCCCAAAAGTGGGATAGGAGCTCCTACAGAGCTGGGGTCCTCAAATAACATCAAGCGTGTAAGCCAGAAAAGAACACCACCACCCAGAGGTGGTCCTGTGGTCAGAACAGGTTGAGGGAGCGAGGTAAAGAAAAAGAGGGGTAGGAAGGGGACCCTGGGATGGGAATGAGGATTCTCAACAGGACATGGCATGGAGCAGGCATCTGTGAGGTCCTGAAGATTCTGAAGCAGAAAGAGACAAAAATCACTAGGTCCAGGGAGGAAAATGTCCAGCTCAGTAGAAGCTTAGGCTCCATCTCTGCTGTCAGTCTCTCTCTCTCTCCGTCTCTCTCCCATTTTCTCTCTCTCTCTCTCTCTCTCTCTCTCTCTCTCTCTCTCTCTCTCTCTCTCACACACACACACACACACACACACACACACACACCATGTGAAAGCTGAATCCTGTGGCTGAGTGGTAAGCCATTGCCACAGCTGGAGGCCACTGGAGTCGGGGCCAGACCTGCTGTTGACATCATGGCAAAGATAAGGGATATCCCTGTGGTCTTTTGTCTGGGCCTCAGTTTCCTCCTCTGTGAAATGGAAAAACTAGCTAAAAAACGCCACACATTCCTTCCCAACATAAACTTTATGAATCCATAGACTGCAATTTATCTATTATTATCTGGAGATTAATTATTCAGAGATACCAAAGCACCCAGCCCTCTCAGGAGCTCCTCCCCAAATTGAGCAATCTAACCCACAACTCACTTCCTCCAGTGAGTTCTCACCACTACGCCCTTTCATTGGCCGCAGCTACCCTCCTGGAGGTGTTCTACAGGTGAAAAGCTCAGCATCCTGGTAAGTCTTGGACCCCCCTCCCTCCCACCACCCAGGATCTCTCTCTCTCTGTACCCTCAACCCCCAGCCTGGTCTTGGGCATCTACTCTCTCCTTTGATGGGCAGAGAATGGGGACTCCCCTCTCCTCCACTACTTGCAAGGACTTGTGGGCTCCGCTGAAGAGAGCAGGAATTCTGGAATTGTTGTAAAGTGACTGGATTTGGTTTGGTGTTGAAAAGATTACTTTACATGTTTGGGATCTTGTAAATGCCACGTGCTATACCATTTACATAGCATTAACTAATTAGAACTCATTCCCCCCATGGAGTTGCTGAAGTGAGTTTTCAAGGAGCTGAAATTTTCACTCAAGCCAGGAAGTTCCCACGCAGTCACAGAGAACACAACTGAGTGGTCTGCAGGTGCTACCCTGTTCCAGGGTGTTTGGTTTATCAATCCTGGAAAGGCTACTTCTTTCATTCTGGGCCTAAGGACTAGCATAAGATGGCAAAGCACAAAATTGCAAGTGATAGGAGTGAACTGTGCCTGGGTTGACTCAGTTATGTCTCAAGAACTTATCCTAAAAATAGGGGTGGGAGCAGAGCTCACAGCAGAGCACGTGCTTGGCACATGCAGAGCCAATCTTCAGTAAGAAAAAAAGTAAAAGTATATATAATAGATGTACATTTTTATATTTAATATTTAAATTATAAGTATATTAATATTAATTTATAAGTATATTTAACAGATGAGATGTGATTTTATTTTAGAAAGGGTACTGTAGGCTGAAAGTAATGTACGTGGGCCATTTACCCCTACATAGAGCCCTGGCTGTGTAACTGGAAATCACTTCCACTTACAGAGTGATGGCGGCGTTTGACTGACAACAAGCCAGCAGGATCGGGGTGGAGGGGTGGGACTCATCTCCAAAACAAGGCTGTCTTGATTTAAGGGGTTCAGGCACAAGGCACGGGGGCACCAGCGTAGTCCCAAGCTTCAGGTGGCCTGTGTTTCTGTTGCTCAAGCTCCTGCTATCCAAGGGTCGTCAGAGGTTCTGATTCTGTGACTCTAAAGAAAATGACTGATTAGAAAGTCTTCCGACCTGCGTCCTTTTAGTTGCTTTTCCTGGGAACAGTTAATCCTGGAGTTAATCAGTAGGATGTGAAAGGCAGCTTTCCCTGGAGAGCAGGGGAAGGAACCAAAACGCAGCTGTCTCCATACAAGAGTGTGTGCAAGTTTTCACAGAAGAAGAGTTCTAACCCAACAGGTGACTTCAGTCAGGGATGTCACCTACAGCAACACCAGTGGGAGACTAATAACACATTGCTTAGCCGTATCACCTCTAAAACTAGTGACTTTATTTTTCATCCTCGTTTTTATTAGTACATGTTTGTGTTACATAAAAGTACATGCATCGCGGGGAGTTGGAGCATGTATGCGCCACATCCTAGGCCATTTTACTTCCCCTTCCCTCCCATCCCTAGGTCCCCCTCCCACCTACAAGAGCTCTGCCTCCCTGTAAAACTGGTGATTTTTAAGTTAAACTAAAAACAGGGAGAGCTAGAGGGTTTCCTTAGGTGTTCCCTGAGTGAGAACTGCTCTGTGACAGATTCTGTGATCACAGGCTGGTGGCTGAGCCTCTCTGTGTTTTGGTCTGTGCAAACTGGGGCTAATCGCAGCAATTGGCAAGGACCAGAGGGGATTATTTACTGGTGAGGCACAAAACAGACCTCAAATGTACAGCCTCCCTTCCCTTATTTTGCCCCTTTAGCCTCCAATTCATTGCCTCTAGAGTAATAGTAAGTTAAAATACAAATCAACACCACCAAGAGCCACCCTCTCCCCATCCCCAGGCTAGAGGTCATGATCCTGCCCCAGTTTGTTTTCTGAGTTTCTGACCTTCCATTCTGACTTCATGGTCCCCCCCAAGGATCTCAAGCTGACCCTGGAGGCCTGGGAGCATGAGCTCACCCAGATTCTTGCAGTCAGCCCCCTCACCCTATGAAGCCCATCCAAGCAGGGCTATCTAGAGCAAGGACACACCTGGGGACATGCTCTGCACAGCCGCCCCGGCCCTGCTGCTCACTGCTGACGCTCATAACTGAACGGTCTGCTCTCTAAGGCCCCTGCCCCCACCAGGCTCTGCATCCACTCTGAAAGGTGGGTCTTTTCCTGGGCCATCTGTTCCTTTACAGTCAGTGATCATCTACTCTTAGAGGTGACCCATCTTCAACCTTGTGACTTCACTGGACAGAACCTTACGTCTCTGAGCAAACTTGCTCTTTTCTGTGAGACTGCAGAGCCAGCAACTCCTTTCAGGTCTTGCCAATCACACTGGCTCAGCCAGCTACACTACCTGCCTCCAGCCTCCCTTCCTTCTGGCCAATCAGGGCCCCGCCCTCCTCATCACATCTTTCTGGGTTCATCACTGATCAGTCTTCACTCTCTGTAGTCTCTGTGTGGCGGGAAGACAAATTTATCTGGGCCCCATTGCTTACAGGGAGAGTAACACCTTCTCAGGAAAGTGAAGGTTAGGATTTCATCACTCTAAGGGGGAAAGGGCATTATTTCTTTAGTTTCTCTTAAATCTACTCAGTTTTCTTTTTTGCCACACATGATAGACAGTGCCAGAGACTATCATCTGCTAAAGAGAAAACTTCCGAGGACTTTTGTTGTTGTTGTTGTTTTAATATTTGTATTTCCTCTGCAAGACTGTGTCCTTTGGTTAATCTTTTTTTAAACTTGAGATATAATTCAAAAGTTACTCACATAAAGTGTGCAATTCAGTGATATTTTAGCAGACTATATAACCCTTGCCACTAATTCCAGAACACATTCATCACGCCAGGGAGAAATCCTGTATTCATTAACATTCCTGTCTCCCTCCAGCCCCTGGCAAGCACTAATCTACTTTCTCTCTCTACTAATTTTCCTATTCTGATCATTTCATATAATAATGCCTTCAAGATTCACTTATGTGGTTTATTACTTCTTAGAGGTGAATATAGTCCCTTGGATGTCTACACCTTAAATTATCCATTCATCAGTTGATAAACATTTGGTTTGTTCCCACTATTTTTGACTATTATGATAAATACTGCTATAAACATTTGTGCATAAGTTTTTGTGTGAATACATTTTTAATTCTTTTGTGCATATACCTAGGATAGGAATTGCTGGGTGACATGGTTTTACTTTTTGAGCAAATGCTAAACTGTTTTCCAGTGTTGCGCTATTTTACATTCCCATTAGTGATGGGTGAGTGTTCCAATTTCTCCACATCCTCACTACCCATCTTTTAAAAATCGTGCCCAGCCTCGTGAGTATGAAATGGTTCCTAGAAAGTTTCACTTGCTGTTTCTTCTCGAACAACAGATTCTATTTAAGGCTAGGTTATGGATTTGAGTATGGTCATAGGATAGTCTTAAAATTTGCAAAGAAATAGCATGAGCCAGACATGGTGGTGAATGCCTGAAACCCCAACATTTTGGGAGGCTGAGGAAGGAAGATTGTGAGTTTGAACCCAACCTGGGCACCTTAGTGACTTACTGAGACCCTGTCTCAAAATTTAAAAAATTCAGAAGGGCTGGGGATGTAGCTCAGTTGAAAGGCCCTGAAGTTCAATCCCCGGTATAATAAATACATAAATAAATAAATAAATAAATAAATAAAGTAGAAAAGAAGGAAGAGTTGGTCTTGGTGGCACACCCCTGTAATCCCAGAACTCGGGAGGCTGAGGCAGGAGAAGTATTGCACATCTGAAATCAGCCTGAGCTGCAAAGTGAGCTCAAGACCTACATAGCAAACCCTGAACTACACAGCGAGACCCTGTCTTAAAAAGACAAAAAAAAAAGAAAAGAAGGAAAGAAGGAAGGAAGGAAGGAAGGTAGGAATGTAGGAAGGAAGGAAGGAAGGAAGGAAGGAAGGAAGGAAGGAAGGAAGGAAGGAAGGAACAGAACAGGGAAGTTTCATCAATATTTTGGGTGATCATGGTGTCACAGAAAATGATGATAACTTCTCTCTGATATTGAAGAAAACTGGAGTCTTTTCATAAAACGTACTATTTTGTCTCATAATCTTACTGCTTCTATCCCTTACAAATTGGAAGTAAAAATTAATTCCATGTAATATATAAACAGATGCAGTTTCTTGGGTGTGTGGGTAATAATTGGGGATGATTTTACCCTGCAGTAACCCTCCTGTCTCCTCTTTAGGCAAGATTTAAATTTACCTGAAAATGGAAGACTTTTACTGGGACTACAACTTCACCGGTGATTTTAGTCATTACAGCACTGATCTGTCCCATATTTTGTCAGATTCTGCCCCATGTGAGCCGGAAGCCCTTGAAATCAATAGTTATGTCATAGTCATAATCTATGCCCTGGTGTCCCTGCTGAGCCTGCTGGGAAACTCCCTGGTGATGCTGGTCGTCTTGCATAGCCGAAGCACCTGCTCTGTCACTGATGTCTATCTGTTGAACCTGGCCATAGCTGACCTGCTCTTTGCCCTGACCTTGCCCTTCTGGGCATCCTCCAAGATGAATGGCTGGACTTTTGGCACAGTCATGTGCAAGATTATCTCATTCCTGAAGGAAGTCAACTTCTACAGCAGTATCCTGCTACTGGCCTGTATCAGTGTGGACCGCTACCTGGCTATTGTCCACGCCACACGCACTCTGATCCAGAAGCGGCACTTGGTCAAGTTTGTGTGCTTGACAGTATGGGGAATATCTCTGATTCTGTCCCTGCCCATGTTACTTTTCCGTAGCATTGTCCACCTGTCTGACTCCACCTCAGTCTGCTATGAAGACTTGGGGAGCAGTACGACCAAATGGCGCATGGTGCTGCGGCTCCTGCCCCAGGTCTGCGGCTTCATCCTGCCACTGCTGATCATGCTGTTCTGCTACGGCTTCACGCTGCGCACACTGTTTAAGGCCCAAATGGGGCAGAAGCACCGGGCCATGAGGGTCATCTTTGCTGTTGTGCTTGTCTTCCTGCTCTGCTGGCTGCCCTACAACCTGGTCCTGCTTGCAGACACTCTCATGAGGAACCACTGGATCGAGGAGACCTGTGAGCGCCGTGATCACATCGACCAGGCCCTGGAGGCCACCGAGATCCTGGGCTTCCTCCACAGCTGCCTCAACCCCATCATCTATGCCTTCATTGGCCAAAAGTTTCGCCATGGGCTCCTCAAGATCATGGTCACTTATGGCATGGTCAGCAAGGAGTACTTGCCCAAGGAGGCCCGGCCTTCCTTCGTTGGCTCTTCTTCGGGGAACACGTCCACCACTCTCTGAGATGCTTTGCCCAAGTTATAGCCCCTCAAGGTTCCTCTTTTCCTTCAGCATCCTATTCCAAGCCTCATGTCCACTGGCTGTTTATGGTGTCCACAGTGACGTAGCCCCTCCATTGCGGTTACAGAAAAAAGCAGAGGCCTCATCCACACCAAGCCTACTACACGGCACTCTACCCCTGTCCATGATCATTACACCAACTAATAGAGTTGGTCCATCCTACTACTAGGCCCAAAGCAGTCTATTTTCTAAAATATGCACATCAAAACTACAGTGAGATGTCATGGCTTACCCACCAGGAGAAGCTATTACCTGAAAGAAGAAAAATAAAGAGAAAATAGCAAATGTCAGCAAGGATGTCGAGAAATCAGTGGACTTCTCCCACATAGCTGGTGGAAGTAGGAGATGGTACAGCCACTGTGGAAAACAGCAAGGCAGGTTTCCTTAAAACATTAAACACAATGCCACGTGATGCTGCAATTCCACTTCTAGGCATTTACCCAAAGGAATGGAAAGTGAGGAGTTAGACAAATATTTTCACACCATAGCATTATTTACAACAATAGAGGTGGAATCAGTCTGACAGTTCGTTAATGAATGCATGGATAAATGAAATGTGATGTACACCTACAATGGAATATTATTTGATCGTAAGAAGAAAAGACTGGTACATGCTGCAGTATGGATGAACGTTGAAAACATTTTGCTAAGTGAAATATGCAGGCTAAAAAAGGACAATACTGTATGATTCCACTTACACAAAGTACCCAGCACAGTCAAATTCCCACACACAGAAGAGAATAATGGTTACCAGAAGCTGGGGTGAAAGGAGAATGGAGAGTCACTGTATAATGCGTGAAGAATTTCAGTTCGGAGTGATGCTGTCGGTAGCCAGCACAGGAGTCGTATAATAATGTGAAAGCACCAGAGGCCCCTAAACTGTGTACTTAAAAGGTTAAAAAGAGGCTGGGGGTATAGCTCAGTGGTAGAGCTTCTGCCTAGCATTTGCAAGGCCCTGGATTCTATCCCCAGTACCTCAAAAAAAAGAAAAAGAGTAAATGTTTATGTATATTTAACCTCAATTAAAAAAAGAATCTGAGTCCAAAAAGGCACTTTAACCACCTACCTACAATTTCTTGTAAAGCAATATCATTAAACACCTTTTTTTAATAAACCAGTCTTAGTTGGGTATTTATTTCATTACTTCCACCAAAAACACTCCAACTGATACTTAGAGGTAAGCTAGGGTACAAAGAGGTCCTACAGTGAAGGTCTTTAAAGAAGTAAGTCCTTCTGCTAGTTCCTGGGTTCACAGAGAGAAGGTCTGGGTGAAGATGGAGACCTGCCTTCCCGTTCCTCATGCTGCCCACCCCAAGCCCCCACTGCTGAGCGGGCATCATGGGGAGAATGTGGTGGGGCCCTGCGGTGCTCCTCAAATCTGTGGGTAAACCAGTAGTCAGGAGCATCCCAGACAGGTTTAGGAGAGGTGGAAGGTCAGGAAGGTCACCAATCAGCCTGACCAGGAACCCAGAAGGCAGGAAGCTCTCCTGACCTCCAAGAGCAGCACCCACTGCAAGTCTCTCACCCTGCACCCTCTCCTTTCCAGCACACACATGCCCGTCACTGAGGGCATGACAGGACAGCAGTAGTGCAGAATGGGAAATGATTTGTAATCTGTCACCTAGAGAAAACAAGGGATTTGATCATCCCTTCAATATGTATGGAGGGCCAGGTGTCCCAGCAGGCTGTGCTATAGCAGCATCTAAAACAGAGAGCATTGCCTTGGCTGAGCTCATCCTCAGGAGTGAGGGATTGGGCTGCTTTTACTAAGGGAATAAGAAAGCGAGAGAGACGGAACACCCCCAGTTACCAAACCACCCCAATCTCAGCACTACGCAAGGAGCCAGTGTGGAGGCAGGAGAAACCCTGCCCCTACTCAAGGGTAGGGAACTTCCACTCACAGCTCAGGAGAGTGCTTTTCCCACTGTGTTCAGCCAGCGGGATTCATCCAGCGCCAACCAGCCCTGGTTCCGCGTTCATTCTCCACTAGGGACTTCACTAAGTTCAGAGCAAATGTGACTCAGCTGCTCCTCTGATTCACCAGGGGGAAAATGCAGAGGAATGAGTGTTTACCAAACACTCTGGAGAGGCCAGAAGGACCAGCGGCGTTCTGCCTGGGCTAGGCCACCGAGGCCACCGACATGGCCAGACAGCTGCCTACGTGACTCCGGGAGGGAGGAGGCCAAATGAGCCTCACTCCTATTCCAGGGCTCTGCTCTTTCCTCCTCTAACAAGGCCTGGAGGAAACAAGGTTCTTCAGGGAAGAAAGGAGGCTGTGGTGATCCTGGAGCCAACAAGCCTGAGGTAGAATTGCACTTAAGTGAATGCTATGGATCTCTCTCTTACTCTCTCCCTCCTCCCTTCCCCTCCCCCTCCCTCGCCTCTTTCCCCACTCCTTCTCCCTCCCTGTCCCTCATGGAAAGTTTTCCAGCACTAGGTCAGGGCCAGCCCAAGCAGCCTTTGAGTTGCTGATTCTTGCTTCCCTCCCACTTTCTAGACCCACATCCCAGTCCCCCTGTCTAAGGGCCCAGCATTCTCTGACAGGCCTGCCCGCTCTCCACCTGCCCTTCCTGCTTCTGAGATTTGTCACTCACACTAACGCTGCCATCCTTTTATGTGTCTCCCGAGTTTATGATGCCCCTCCCACCCGCCACAATCTTCAGTCTCTGCAGGATGAGTGCCCTCTTGCTCTATAACCCAAGACCAACTCCAGTCTATTTTGGGGGGTCATTCATTGAGCAGCACCTCTAATTTACCTGTCACATTCCAACTCAGGACGTACAGACCGCAGGAGGGTCCCACCACCACGCAACAGCAGTCAAGAGGCCTGAGGATGCCCAGGCCAACTCTCTCAATAGGTACGGGAGGAAAATGAGGACTGAGCAAAGCACCCTGGCCAAAACTTCATGGCTGCCGAGTGGTAGAGCTGAAATAAAATTTCCTAGTTTGGCTCCTTCTTGGTCAGTTCTTTGGTTTTTGTGACAGTGACCTTTCAGGCACCGGACAGGATGGGTGGGAAATTATATACTGTGCTTACATGGGTAGCATCTGTCTACTTTTCTGCTCCTAGACTCATCGGTACCTGCAGCCGAGGGTATTGGGGTTCCATCGTCCTGACAGAGGTCAGGGCCAGCTGAGGTGTAGGGACACAGATGTGGCAGCAGGCTCAGACTGCTTCTGCTCTAAACTGGCAGGAGGACAGTTAATGAGACATCCAAGCACAACACAAAATTCATAGACAAGCAAATCCAACTTCTCTCTTGAGGGCACAGCTGTCCAGGTCAGGGTTCAACCCAAGTTACAGAGCCACGAGGAAGAGGGGTCTGTGACAGGAATTCTGCCCTACACCACTGCAGGAGCTGCTGAGACAGTCTGTGTCAGGCTGTTGGCTTTGCTTCCAGTGTGGGACCTAAAGCCGGCAGGACACCTGGAGGAATGATGGACGTGAGGGTGTGTCTTGGTTACTTTTCTCTCATTGCTGAGACAAAATACCTGACTTCCAGAATTAAGGAAGAAAAGGTTTATTTAGCTCACAGTCTGTGGAGCTTTCAGTCCATACTTGGCTGGCTCCAAGGCACAGTGGCACATGGCAGAAGGCAGCAGTTCATGGCAACGGAAGACAGCAAAAGCAACAAAAGCAAAGGGAGGAGCCACAAAGAGCAGGCCTCTTTCCCTCCTTTATATTGTATGCACACTACCCTCCCTGCTACACCCAGTACAGGGTGGGTATAGCACTCACGCCCATAATCCCAGCACTCACACCCATAATCCTAATGAACCATGAGACAGTAAAAAAACTCTAGAAGCCTGCCTGCTGACTGCATGAGGCTTTGCGGACGTTGGGGGGACATGTACACACAAACCATAACAGGGAAATGGCCAGGACAAGCCGCAGCCCCTGGGGCGCACTGAAAACTGTATGGGTCCAAGTTCAAGGTGAGAACGGCCGGCTGTGGCTGAGACCCTGCAGCTCGAAGGAAACACTCACCCTAGGTGCTGAGACCCCAGCTGTTGCCAGCAGTTAACTGACAGCATGTGATGGCATCAGGTGCCTCACAGGGACTTTCCAAAGCTTAACAAGCATGACCGCCACTTCCCCCTTCCAGCTTCACAACAATGCTGGCCTGCACCCACCTGGATATTGAAGGCAGAGAATTTAGTTGCATCTCAACTGAGCTGAGGCAACATGAGTGGTCCACACAAACATGGGGACAAATGCTAAAGAAAAGGGCCACAGGGGCTGGGGATTTAGCTCAGTAGCACAGCGCCTGCCTGGTAAGTGCAAGGTTGTGAGTTCGATTCCTAGTACCAGAGAAAAACCAAAAAAAAAAAAAAAAAAAAAAAGGGCCACAGATATCCTCCTGAACGGGGGAGGGGTTGCTGATAATGTCTTCTCTTAACCTACATGACAGGCGCCGGGATTTGTTGTTTTGTTATATTCCATAGCCTGTAGGTATAAATTTTCTGTAACTGCTAGAATGTTTGTTATTGGACATTAAAATAAAGACAAAACAACATAGAGAAAATAATCAGAAGGACAAAGGGACAACTTGGGTCATTTCGAGGAACCAATGCAAGGAATTGAGTCCAGGTTTTATATCCCATAGTCTGAGACATCAACTCATCAAATCAGAAGATGTTACCATCCCCGCCTGCTACAAGAGTGAATAGATAACATTTTTAGAGAAAGTAATTCTCTACCTACTTTATGTACGCACTCTCTGATCCAGGAAAGCTATCCTACAGAAATACACACATAGGTGGGCACACAGGCATGGAATTTTTTTCACAGTATTATTTGTAAAAGCCTAAGCTTAGAGACAACAGAAATGTCCATAGGGGATTTATACAAACTATGATGGAGCATCCACACCACAGATACAGTGAATACAGTGACTTAGAAAAAAGGGTAAAAACAGTTAAAGAAGCCAGAAGAGGGCCGGGGATATAGCTCAGCAGCATAAGCGCCTGCCTGGCAAGCGTAAGGTCCTGAGTTCGATTCCCAGTACCAAAAAAAAAAAAAAAAAAAAAGAAGCCAGAAGAGAAGAGCAAGTTTTGTGAGTCCATCACGTGAAGGGTCCAGAGAAGGCAAATAGATGGGGACAGAATGCAGACGAGCATTCCCAGGGCCAGAGGACAGAACTGACTGTGATTAAGCCCCATGGGCCTTTCAAGGTGAGGGAATATTCTAAATCTGGATTTCGGTGACATTTGCACAGCTGTGTAATTTAATAAAAATCATTGGCTTGTGCTAGACTTTGAATGTCTGATCAAAATCCATGTTGAAATGTACTTGTCATTAAATAAAACAAGATAATAGAACATAGGGAAAGAGATCTTTTGCACCAGCAAAGGGGATCAAGACCTGTGGGGGAAAGGGGAGAGGAAGGGGATGAAAAAAAAAATTAAATTGTGTTATGTACCAGAATGTAATCACTATGTACTGCAAACATGTACTAATAAAAAAAAAAATTGAAAAAGACAAAAAAAAAAAAAAGAAAGAAGCCAGGTCTGGTGTGACACACCTGTAATCCCAGCCCTCAGGAGGCTGAGGCAGGAGGATCATTGTGAGTTCAAGACCATCCTGGTCTACAAAGTGAACTTGAGGCCAGCCTGAACTGCATAGTGAGACCCTGTCTCAGAAAGACAAAAAAAAAAAAATTGAGGAAAAAAGAAATGTTCTATTGTAGCAGTAATAAGAGGTGGGGCAATAGATTAATGCCACTGTCTTGGGAGTCAGTGAGTTACCCTGGAAATCCCTGAGTTTTAAAAAGTACAAGTTTAGCCGGTTGTGGTGCCATATGCCTGTAATCCCAGCATTTGGGAGGCTGAGGCAGGAGGACTGACATGAGTTCAAGGCCAGTGTGGGCAGCATAGTGAGTTCAAGGCTAGCCTGGACTACCCCAAGACTCTGTCTCAAAACACAAACAAAACAAAACCCCAAAAGCGATGAGTTTAGAGAACTTTTTCCCTCAATGCTGGTGAGCAAACCAACGGCCTTGCACATGCTAGGCAAGCGCTCTATCAGTGAGCTACACCTCAGCTCTTTTTTTTTTTTTTTTTTTTTGAGACAGGGTCTCACTCTGCAGTTCAGGCTAGCTTTGAGCTCACTTTGTAGCCCAGGCTGGTCCCCAACTCACAATGATCCTCCTCCCTCAGCTTCCCGAATGCTGGGATTACAGGCGTGCACCACCACACCCGGCCACCTCAGCTGTTTATCTTAGTTTACTTTGAGAATAATGCTAAGTTGCCTAGGCTGGCCTTGAACTCCTTATTTTACTGCCTCAGCCTTCCATATAGCTGGAATTTTAGGTGTGGCCTCTGCACCTGGCCTCTCTTGCTCATGCTCGCTTACCCTTCCGACATTTTTTGTTGCCACACAAAGGTCCTTACCAGATAGTGTGGTACATGCTCCTGGACTTCCCAGCCTCCAGAGCTATGAGCCGCATAACCTTCTTTTGTTTATAGATTATGCAGGCTATCGTATTCTGTAATAGCACCAGAAAATGAGCAAAGGCAGATTGTTACTTAAAACAGATTGTGAATCTTAGAGTCACTAAAGCTGTTTACAAAAATAATTGTCGAACAATCAAATAAAGATGGGTGTGCTGTTCACCAGGAGTGCTTAGCCTGTGTAAGGTCCTGGCTTCCATCTCCTGCACCAAAAAAAAGTAAAGTAAAGAAAAGAAATATAAGAGTTATATGAATGGACATGGAAAGATCTTCAAGAAACAGTGCTGAATAAAAAGGGAAGAACAGCATTGTGGTAAAATGCTTTACCCTTTTGGTTGGAAATCACTATAATACATGTGGGTTTGTAAATGCTTTTAAAAACATCTTTGAAGGACTGGGGATTTAGCTAGGACTGGGGATTTAGCTCAGCGGCAAAGGCGCTTTCCTGGCAAGCGCAAGGTCGTGAGTTCGGTTCCTGGTACCGAAAAAAAAAAAAAAAAAACCCAAAAATAAAACATCTTTGAGAGAGGGGCATTGTGGCGCACGCCTGTAATCCCAGCACTTGGGAGGCTGAGGCAGGAGGATTGTTGTGAGTTGGAGACCAGCCTGGACTACAAAGTGAGCTCAAGGCCAGCCTGAACCACACAGTGAGACCCTGTCTCAGAAAGACATAAAAAAAGTCTTTGAGGAAGGGAGGATATACATTGAGCAGTCAGTAAGTGTTAGTGCTAGGGAGAACTGAAGAGTGAAGTAATTTTCCGATGAGTTTATACATTTTGCAACCATTTGTTTGAGGCTGGATTTTTCCAGGAATAAAGGTGCTGAGTCCCAGATATGAGTGGGACTTGCCAAGCCAGCATGAGAGTAACCTTCTGTACAAGTGAGGAGCCCGGGCTATGTGGGTGCACCCACTGCTTGGTCTTATAGTCGTTCAATGAACAAGATCACAGTTCCCCTCTCCAGATCTTCTTTTTAAATGCTACCTTATTCCCAAATGAGTTAAGCAATGAGGGAACTTGTGGAGAGCAGACCACAAAAGAACTAAGCAGTGCTGAAGACATGGAGCAGCATTTCTGAAAGTGCTCTGCGCTTAAAATCAGCTCCTTAATTTAAAAGGCAAATTAATGCCAGGCATGGCAGCACACACCTATAATCCCAGCTTCTTTTTTTTTTTTTTTTTTTGTCTTTTCTTCCGGTACCAGGAATCGAACTCACGACCTTGCGCTTGCCAGGCAAGCGCTTTTGCCGCTGAGCTAAACCCCCAGCCCCAATCCCAGCTTCTTAAGAGGCTGATTCAGGAGGGTCACAAATTGGAGGCCACCTAGGTTACACAGCAAGACCCTGTCTCAAAATAACACTTTTAACAGTCTGGATATATAGCTCAGTGGCAAGCATGAGTTCAGTCCCCAGTACCACACACACACACACACACACACACACACACACACACACACAAAATATATATATATATATATTTTTGTTTTGTTTTGTTTTTTGTTTTTT